CTCTCTCTCTCTCTCTCTCTCTCTCTCTCTCTCTCTCTCTCTCTCTCTCTCTCTCTCTCTCTCTCTCTCTCTCTCTCTCACACAGAGGCACACATAAAAACTTACACACCTCGCACGCGCAGAATGACACAGACACTCACATGCATGAGCGATTCCGGTGAAAAAAAGGTCTTAAAATCTACTTACCGCTATCATCGCTAACCAGTCACACATTCGTTGAGATGTGGGCCCACAGTCGGGTACAGGAACAACAGACTGTCAAGTTCTCTGTCGACAAGAGAGAGAAGAAGCGTAGCGAGTAGAGATATAGACGCCAAGCCAGGAAACACCCAAAGAAGGTAGGCCGATACAGACGCTGTCAGAGACTGTAGGAGGAACGGCACCGACGAGGAAATAAAAAAGCCATCGAAATTCCTGTTTTGTTTTTCATCTTTTCTTCTATTTCAGCCATCGATACACTCAATCTCTTGCATCCATGTCTGCGTTCGCGCGGTTGCTGGTGTCCGCATGAGCGCGCGCGGGCGTCTATGTGTCGCTGTGAATTGTCATATAGTTGAAGAGCATGACTGCGCCAGACTGTTTCGTCGGACTCTCACCGACTCATCACAAGCACGTGTGTTCTTGTTTATGTGTCGTGTATGTGTGTGTCTGTGTGTGCTGTATCCGATAAAACCAGCACCGAAAATGTGTGAGCATGTCATGAGAGTCCGACGTACTTGTCAGGAATCGGCGAGAGTCCGACGAAACAGTCTGGCGCAGTCATGCTTTTTTTTTTGGTGGCCGGTGAGAAACCGTTTGTTCGTGTTTATTTATGTGTACGTTTGTTCGTGTTTATGTATGTTAATTTACGCGCGCGCGCAGTCATGCTTGAAGAGTGACATATTACAAAATATCGGGGATTCGAATACCTCTCACCATCCGTTCATGTATGTTAATTTACGGATAAGGATTTCAATATTGAAAATGATTATCGAGTTTTGGATTTTTATTTGTTCTGTTTTCACTTTATTGACTTGTTATTGACACTTATTGTTGCTCAGAAGCAATTGTTTTTTTCTTTAATTAGCTAACGAGGGAGGCGGCCGGAGGGGAGGGGTATGTTAGAGCTAATACGTGCGCGTGCGGGTGCGGGTGCGGGTGCGGGTGCGGGTGTGGGTGAGGGTGAGGGTGCGCATGCGTATGTGTGTGTGTGAAAAAGACGAAGGATCAAGTACAAGGGGAGAAGGTTAAGAGAGAGAGGGAGAGAGAGAGAGAGAGAGAGAGAATATGAGAAAGCGAGATATTTGTCTGTCCGTTGATAATCAAGATCAACGGCCAGTACTCTCTTCAGTTCAGTCGACCAAGAGAGAGAGAGAGAGAGAGAGAGAGAGAGAGAGAGAGAGAGAGCAAGAGAGAGAGACAGAGAGAGAGAGAGAGAGAGAGAGAGAGAGAGAGAGAGAGACTTACCCTTCTCCTTTCAGGCTCCGAAAAAAGAGATTTCTCAGAACAGATTCGTTTTTCCTTTTTTTTTGGTTAAACCTCGGTTCTCTTAAAGGTTTTCCTTTTCTCTTTCACAGCTGCGGTACTTTCAGAGCGCTTCAAACAAAATTGACCTTCTCGGTGTCTCGCTGTCGACTCCATGAATCTTTTTTTTTCCCTTTTTGTTTTTTTCCTTCTTCCTTTCGTCCATGTATATCTTTTTTTCCTCTATCGAGTTGAAGGGTAATTTTTCGTTTTTGGCGTTTTCACTCTTGTATGAGATTGCACGCTTATCGCAGTTGTGAACATACTCAGGGCATATACTCACACACAAATTTCACGCGTTTCCTACTCCGGGCGGTTTGCCCCATTTTGCTGTGTGTTGCACAGTCACAGAGGGATAGCAAATTGCAACAGACAGTGACCGGACGCCCTGCCATTTGCGAAACTGCCCCCTTGTGCAGTCACACAGCAAAAGGTAGCGGAGGAATGCCTGCAATTTTTCTTTCAGCAAAAGACAGTGACCTGATGCCGGCAATTCTCTTCTGTGAGCTCTCAGTGACTTCCCCCCCCCCAAAAAAAAAGGAAAAAAGCCAGCACCTCTAGAGGTGCTGGCAAATTGCTCAACCCCGCTGGCAAATTGCTCACCCGCGCGGCCCACCTCTAAGGACGCTGCTGGCATTTGCCACACAAATTGCGACCGTTGATGGGCTGGCCGGCAAAGTACGACTGCAAATTTGTGCAAAACCAATGGCAGATTTTGCAATTTCGCCAAAAAAAAAAGCCACTAGTGTGAGTGGGCCCTCACACTGGCAAACCTCAAATGCATCTGACAGTATTACAGCCCTATTTAGCTGATCTGACCGCAATTCCGCCCAGGAAAAAGCAAAAAAGGTCCTACTGTGAGTATGCCCTCTTTCAATTCCGTGTGAAGAGCAATTTGGCCAATTTTCACTTCTTCTTCTTCGTCTTCTTCTTGGCATACGTCTTATGTGCCAGTTCTTCTCTTTTTCTTTTCTTTTCGTTTCGTTTCGTTTCGTTTCGTTTCGTTTCGTTTCGTTTCGTTTCCACCCCACCACTTTGACAGTGGTCCCCGGCCTCGCTTCTTTTTTTCGTTTTTTTCGTTTTTTTTTTTTGTCGCGGGG